AGGGTTCAGGGAACCAGGCGAACCCAGCACGCTTGGGTTCGAGAAAGATAGGAAAGATGTGAGGAAGATACTGAAACGCAAGGACAGTGATGTAGGCCAAAGAGGTAATCATCCCTATATGCAACCAGATTTTCAGTATCTTCTCTTGCAATTTCTTCCTTTTCCCTGTTACAAATTTTCAAGATTTCATGATTTACCTTGTTCCATCATTACAATTAGCTACTCACTCACTCATTTTCTTATGGGGAAATCAAAGTTTGCTAATTTTTCAAATTCCATCCCCTTATTTTAGATATTGTGTTGATTTTACTACTATTCACTTTTTTTGGGTATGGATTTAGGCCTTGCATGACCCTTCCTTCCCTTGAATTGTATGTTCTTAATCAGTGATTTTGAGTTTTATATAAATGTCTGTCTGCTTGCCTTTTCTTCAGCTCAGATCCAAGCATAATATGTTAGCAACTAGCAAAGGGCTACCCTCCCTCGTCTGGAGTTTCATTTCTGAGACTCAAGATTAAAACTTTTCGCGTAATCATTATCAACCCAACTTGGGTTTCAACACTAAGAAGCTTGAGTTTTGAGTGCCATCTTTACCCCTTTTGGGTTCTGTTTAGTGGAGTGGTTAAACTTTTTCCAGTAGAGTTAGAGTCTACCTTAAATTTTTCTTATCTAGTTTATCTATTTGAAACCAAGTATGAGTGAATGTGCATCTCTTGGATGCTGGAGGGAATAACATCTTTAAACATTCAGGAAGAGCTTTGGAAGATTTGCGAGCTTCTATATTTAACAAATTCCATCCATCTGAAAGTGCAAAAACTCAACAGCAAAGAATTTGGGGTCTTGTTTCAGCTCTCACATTCAATTTTATGGTTACTGTTGGTATTATTCTCATGAACAAATGGGTTCGTTCTTTGTACCATATTATGTATGTGCTACTACTGGCTTTACATTTGACAACTCTCTAGTGGTAATTGCATAGCTTGTTCCTTTTTGTTTGTGCAGGTTCTTAAAAATGTTGGGTTCCAGTTCCCAGTATTTCTTGCTTTTATTCACTATTTAGTAAGCTGGGCATTGATGGCTGTCTTGAAATCCTTCGAAAGAACCCAGGCGCTGGTGTTGGGTTCCTTTGAACCCAGTAGGTGATGGGAATCAAGATGACAGCATATCTATTACGTCATGTGATCCATTACACACCCAAGGAGGTCCAGTCACGCGAGTTAGAGCTAAGAAGATGCGTGAAGCTTTAAATGGCCTTATTGAGCAGATCTGGGTTGAAAACAACATACAACAAGCAAATCGAAACTTGGATGATTATCAAGGCATGATAAACATCATTCAGGTTCAAGAGAAGCTTAGTTGAGGTCATTTGTGCTAAATTACACAGTTTGCGTCAATCTCGCAATTCTGTCGCAATTTGTAACAAACTGATATTTCATGTTACTTTAGGCTACTTTTAGTGATTTTCACATTTTTTATATTATTTTGGGCTGAACATTCATTTATTTAAGGTCCAATTCGTGGTTATTATGATTAGGGCTTAGGGTGTTAGTTTCCTATTCTGATTAGAATTACTTTTCCCTATTTAAGGAGGCTTGTAACCCTAATTGAAGAGGCTATTTGTAATATCCCAAAATTTTGGGGATATTTTACCATTAAATAAGGGACTTATTTGAGGAAAAATATTGTTTTGGGGCTTAATCGTAAAATTTTAAAAAGTTGAGGGGCTAAAAAGAAAGGAAATTAGGATAAGGATGAATTGCTTTTTCTTTTCCTTTTTTCTTTCTTTTTCTTCTTTCTTTCCTTCCTCATCAGACCCGCGTGCCCTGCTCTTCTTCTCCCCCCCGACCCTCTGCACTCGACGAGCCCACCTCGTCACCGCCACCCATTTTTGGCTAGAAATCCGGCAAAGCTTGGGGATTTCTCCCTATTTTCTTGTCTTAGAACACCTAGTAAACCCAAAAATTCCCCCTCTTTGCTGGAAATTCCAAATCTGCGCTGTTTTCTTCCCTTTGTCCGTCGGCCTCTGCTTGTGTGGGTGTGAATTCTTGGCTTTTCTGGTAAGAAACAGCCATGATTTCATCCTTTTAGCTTGCTTAAGTTGGGTTCCTTTAATTTTGGGTAAATCCCGTGAGTTCCTGCAGAATTTCCCCCAAATTGTCGCCGGCCTCTTCCCCCTGCCATGTCCGGTTCTGCAGCTGGAAAATTTCTGGTAGGTTGGCTTCTTTATTTCTTGAAAACTAGTTGATTGATGGTTGCCTATGTTGTCCAAATTTTTGCTAGAAAATGGGAGGAATTCCGGTAGCTTTAGGACCATGATTTAGCTTAATTCAAGTGGGATTTATGTGATTGAGTGTTAATTGATTGCTGTGATATTTTGTGTGAAAATCCCGTGAATTAGCTAGTGTTTTGGCCAATTTTTGGAAGTTGGAGTTACTGTTCACGTCGTGGGTACTGTTCACGGCACTGTTCACATAACACTGTTCACACACCTAGGGTCAACGATTAACGGGGATTTAAAGGTTTAGTTTGTGATATAAGAATGAAATTGGAGATGTCCGGTTATGTGGAGATTGATAGAAATAGCATCGAGATTAGGGGTAGTCCCGATGATGATTTTACTTTGAATTTGTGGTGGTATGGTTATTAATTGTGGAATATTGTGATTAGGTTTTGATCGTTCTATCACCGTAGCACTTGGGTTAGCCTTCTGTTTTGTGCGAGTGAGGTAAGTAAATTATGGTAAAGCCCTCTGATTTTAAAGCATGTTTTAAATTGTTTTTGAGATGGTGGCAAGCTTTAAATTGATTTTATCCGCATCTGAGTGTGATTTAAATCGAAATGGAAATTGTGATGGTCTTTATGAGAATTTCATTGTTTTCCGGAATTGAGCATGATTGGAATGAAAATGAGGATTTTATTGATTTTCTGGAAATGAGCATGATTGAGAAATGAAAATGAGAATTTCATTGTTTTTTTGGAATAGAGCATGCCTATTTGGGAATTGACGGAACTGTTTTGATGAACTGAGAGTTTGCAAATTCTGAGTTTTCTGTTTAATCCATTGTCACGCCCCAAAACCCGAATTCGAGGCGCGACAGACGCCGTACACTCGTGAGACGGGTCCCACAAATGCACAAGGCTCGGAACTTATCACATCACACACCACTCAATCTGAAGATCAAATTATAAAATTCTCTCTGATATCATAGATCTCCAAATACACGATCAAGATTCATATCTAAAATCTATATTCACTTTACAAAATGGCTAGCCTTCTAACTCGTCACTTCCCGTGGTTTCCCCGTCCTCGGTTTCACTTCCTGAAATGGTGGACAAGGAAAAACTATGAGATAAACTCCGTAAGTAAATATGGAGTGCCCCTTATCAAACTTAAAGCATGCCAACAAGTACAATCACGAAAACAGATACAGTACGGGCACGAAATAGACGTCTCCTCTATAGGTCACAGCCAGCGTTTATAAACCTCCCACTGGCGGGCACACGAGTACTAGTGTTTAATCCCCACTAGTAGGGCCACGAGCGAACCGGTTCTATCAATAACATGTCGACATGTGCTAGCGTTTATAAACCTCCCACTAGCGGGCACACGAATAACATGACCACATCGGAGACAAAACAGGCAGAAGTTA